AGCCCCGATCACCCTGCTCAGACCCAGCTTCCTACGAAGGAGTATGTGGGGAGGCAGCAAGTAACGGCTCAAGTACCTGGGGCCCTGCTGCCCACACATGCGTCCCGGGTGAGCCTGGCCCACACCTGGCTGCTGTGTGCTGCGTGGCTAGTGAGCCAAGGGAGGGAAAATCTCTTTCTCACTGTTTCTTTCTGCCTTTCAAGCAAAAACAGAACGAGTTACTGTATTCAGTTCATTTGCTCTAATTACAACATTCCAGATTTTATTTTGAGATCAAACCTGACAAATAGTGGTATAGCCATTTTCTGAAGACAATCCTGACTAGGTCTGTTAGTAGTAGCAGTACTATTACCATTATTATTTTAGGGCTTCATTCAAAAGACAAGTAGAGAACAAAGTCCCTCAGTGCTTTGCTACCTACGTGGCTGAACCAACGGCGCTCTGGCTCTGGCCTGCAGCCACAGCAGTGAGGAATGAAGCCCTCGATGGAAGATCTCTGCTTTTCTCTGCCTTCCAAAAATAAGTAAAAGGAACACTGACAGATGGTCATATAACACACTAAAGCAGCAAATAAAACAAATAAACCCACCAAGTGCTGTAACTTTCAGATGAAAGCACGCAGCTGGCCATCAACTTGGGCAAGATGATAATGAATGGATTACTATGAGTGCTGTAATTTCATTACTTACAGGATTTTACGCTTTAGGATCTTAACTAGTAACTTCCTTTAGGTTCTTTACATTTCAAAATACTATTGTCCAAATTCCATGGGGGAAGTAACTCTTGAAACAAACATGTTAATAATGAGGGTAGGGAAATCCAAAGGAAAGAATTAGAATGTTCTAATTTTGAGGGTTGGCAATGCCACCATCCTATATCAAAATGCCAGTTAGATTTTGGCTACTCCATTTTCAACCCATCTTCCTGCTAATGTGCCTAAGAAAGCAGTGAGACAGCAAGTACCTACACCCCTGGCACCCACATGGGAGAACCGAGGGAGTTCCTGGCTCTTAGCGTGAGCACGGCCCGTCACGGCTGTTACGTTCACCTGGGGAACGAACTTGATGATGGGAGGTCTCTTTCTTTCTCTTTGTCTCCCTCTATGTCATTCTGCCTTTGAAATAAACTAAGAAATCTTTTTTAAAGTATTCCATATGGAACACGGGTATACTAATCAGCATCTTAACTACTAAGCCAAACCTGCCCCAAATATGTTATGAGTTCTCCCTCTGTGCCATGCGCCAGACACAGTCGTAAATCCTAGTGATAATGCAATGATGCAGTGTTGTGGAGGAAGGCAGAGGGGAGGGAGAGACTATAACTAAATGTCCGAGAATACTGTGTTCTTGTCTGATAAAATCCTAAACTATGATTGAAAGTCACTTATGTATCTGTCAGGTATAGTCAGCTTTAAACATAAATTATGTAAATATTCTCATCTAATTTTGGTAAACTGAACACACATTCTAGCATCTGTTCACTTCCACCAAAAGAAAAAAGATGAACCTGTAGGACAAAATCCATGAGGACACTCAGAATGGGAGAGGAGCTGGAGCCAGACAAGATGGACAAGGCGTGACTCAGCATAGTGAAAGGAGCCGCACACACAGCCCGCCCTGCACGCACACACCTAGGAGATGGAGCCCCCAGGAGCCGCACAGCAGAGCCCGCCCTGCACGCACACACCTCGGAGATGGAGCCCCCAGGAGCCGCACAGCAGAGCCCGCCCTGCACGCACACACCTCGGAGATGGAGCCCCCAGGAGCCGCACAGCAGAGCCCGCCCTGCACGCACACACACCTCAGAGATGGAGCCCCCAGGAGCCGCACAGCAGAGCTCGCCCTGCACGCACACACCTCGGAGATGGAGCCCCCAGGAGCCGCATACACCTCGGAGATGGAGCCCCAGGTTGGTGGAGGAATCAGATCCCTAGTCAAACCCTCAATTTAGCCAGGCAACAGTTCCCCCAAGAGGGGTATGGGTTTACTTAACATAGGTGAGAAAAGCTAAAGGTTTGCACACTGCAATGAGGAAACCATACCCAGACCCCACCATCTTTATGTTCCCTTTCCCATTTGGCTTTGGAGATGCTGTCAGCCAAACTGTATACATCTAGGCAAGAAATGGCAAAATTTTTGCTTACGAAAACTTAAAAGACCTAGAGGTGTGACTGGTCCACAACTCAACTTTACTGCTACACAGGGTTTCAAATCATGTTTCTGAAAGCTTACCTTTCCTAAAACTGTAAATGGATGCCCAAGATAACCAGATATCTGTAGAAACTCTAACGAGAGGAAATAGGAACTGTGACACAAGAATTTAAAACACCACATAAACTGGCTTATGCAACACTCCAAAACGAGGCCAGTGTCGGTGCTGCAGGGCAAGCTGCCCGTGGCTCTGCCAGCGGCTCACACCGGGGTGCCCGTTCAAGTCCTGGATGCTCTGCTCCTCGTCGTCCTCTGCTGACACACCTGGCAAAGCAGCAGAGGATGGTGCAAGTCTTGGGGCACTGCCATCCTCATGGGAGACCAAGTCGGACGGAGTTTCTGAATTCTAGCTTCAGTCTGGCTGCTAGAGACATCTGAGCAGTGGAAGGTGGAAGGTGATTCCACATTCCCCCTCAACCCCCACCCTATTTTCTTTTTTCAATTGAAAAGGCAGAATTACAGAAACAAGAGACCAACAGAGAGGTCTTCCATCCACTGGGTCACTCTCCAAACAGCCACAATGGCCAGAGGTGAGCCAGTTTGATGCTGGGAGCCATGAGTTCCATCTATTTCCATATGGGGACAGGGGCCCAAGGCCTTGGATCACAAGCAGGGAACATGAGGGGAAGTAGAGCAGCCAGGACTCCCATCCCATATGGCATGCCAGTGCCACAGGTGGAAGATCAGCCTGCTATGCCACCGCACCAGCCCCAAGATCTTAGAATCCTAAGGAAAAGAGAAGATTCCCAAACTCTCAAAAAACAAAATAAAACCAAAACCCAAAGCAGAACACAGAGGCTTGAAGATGAGAAGGTTCCAGTCCTGTCAATATAAGCCTGAAATCCAGGGAACAGATCAGCAACAATGACTTCAAACCAGAGAATTTAATTCCTTCAAACCTAGGACTCCATATCCAGACAACCCCTGATGAAGCAAAAAGTGGCAGGAGTATTTGGCATGGTGCTTAACCCCAACTGACAGCCACCTCCCGTAACCAGAGTATCTAGGCTTGGGTTCTCTGCTCCCAGGTACACCGAGGACACGGCAGGCAGTGGCCCCAGCAGCTGGATCCCTGCAAACCTGACAGGGCATCCTGCTCATTTTCCCCACAAGCCTGGAGGGGAGACCCGAGTTCCTGACCCTGGGCTTCATCTTGGCCCAAGAGCGGGACTTCTACCAATCAAATTGGGAGGAAAAAGAAACAGCATCAGGGTGGCATGAGGACCCATGCGCACAGCTAAGACCTCACCATCTTGACCCCTCCCCACGTGCCCTCCTCTCAGGGGATGAGGAAAGGATGACACACTCCTTTAGATCAAAGACACAGGCAGACCTGGGATTCAGCCAAGAGAGCATTCAGTGGGAAGAGTAATAATAGAGACCCCGGGGCCAGTACTTCAGAGCAGCACATCAAGCCACTGCCTGTGATGCTGGCATCCCATATGTACTCCCAACTTCCAACACTACTACCTGCTAACAGCCTGAGAAAGCAGAAGGCGGCCCATGTGCTGGGGTCTCTGCCACGGTTACAGTAGTCCCTGAAGAAGAACCTGGCTTCTGTTCGTATTTTTTAAATATTTATTTATTTTTATTGGAAAGGCAGATTTACAGAGAGAAGTAAAGACAAAAAGATCTTACATCTGGTGGTTCACTGCCCAAGTGGCCGGAATGGCCAGAGCTGAGCCGATCCAGAGCCAGGCGCCTCTTCCAGGTCTCTTATGTGAGTACAGGGTCTCAAGGCTTTGGGCCATCATCCTTTGCCACTTGACCCCAGAAAATTAAATGCGAAAACATAAATCAGTACTACTAGAGAAATGAAATACTTTAGAAGTAAATATAACTAGGGCCAGTGCTGTGGCATAGTAGGTAAAGATGCTGCCACCCACACCAGCATCCCATGTGGACACTGGTTCAAGCCCCAGCTGCCCCACTTCTGATCCAGCTCCCTGATAAAAGAGCCTAGAAAACCAGCAGCAGATGTTCCAAGTGCTTGGACCCCTGCACCTACATGGCGAGAACCAGCAGAAGTTCCTGGAACTGGACAGGTTCAGCTCCGGCAGTTGTGGCCACTTGGGGAGTGAATCATCAGACAGAAGATCCCTTTTTACCCTGTCCACACCCCCAACTATGCCTTCCAAATAAATCAATCAACTACCCAGAAATGAATTTAATTATACATATTTTCAAAAGTATTATAATAGATACCAAAAAATGATTAAAAATAACAAGAAAGCAGCTAAAGCCCATTATTTGAAACAGAAGGAACCATCAGAGGAAATCATTTTTGAAAGCTAAAACAGTACAAAGTGACAGTCTCTTGGGAGCAGAGCAGGGGGCGCTGTCCTCCAGCGGCTCTGAGATGGACAACTGCAGGTCACCATCAAGTAAAGCTGAAGAACCTGGAGGCCGTCACCTGACAGCGACCCGACACTGCTCACGCCACACGGGAGCTGCCTGGCTGGAGTCGCGACTGCTGCCCCATCAGAGCCGGCTTCCTGCTAATGTCCCCGGGGAAGGCAGCAGACAGTTACTCTGTCACCCATTCAAATAAATAAACACATTCTTAAAAAGTAAAACAAAAACAACTAAATCTCCCAAATCAGCTCCTTCAATTTTGTCTATCATTTGGGCCTGGGTCTGATGGGGGGGGGGGCAGGGAGAAAGGAGGTATGGTTAAATATGGAGAAATAATTGTCAGATACTGCAGTATACAGAGCAAGGTGCAAGAAACAGAACGAAAACAAAAACAAGGCAGCCAAACCACCAGTGCAGCGGCGGCTATCCACTCACCATCTCTCTGGCTATTTCCAGCGCTTCCTGCAGGCCGTAGAGCCTGCCGCAGACCAGGTAGATGCCATTTGCCCAGAGAATACAACCCTCGTGGACCCAGAATTCATTGCTGTCAAGAGGTAGTTCAGGGATTTGTAACTCCAGCTCGGGGCCACCTTCCGAAGTGGTGGGCACGGAGGGCTTTGAGTCCAAAACAGTCTTTTCGCTGCTGCCCTCTGCAGCGGCCTTTTTACAAGGAAGCCCCCGGGACAGGGAGCGAGGGCCCCCGCCACAGTCCTCCGAGCGGTGACGCCGCTTAAACCTGGGGTGCGCAGCCAGGCTCCTCTGCTCCTTCTGCTGCTGCTGCTCCTCCTCCTCCTCCGTGTCCGTCTTGGAGCCGTTCGAGGCGCTTTTGTGCCGTACCTTCACTTTGCTCTGCATTTCCACGGCCCTCTTAGGGGGCGGGTTCTTCGGGAGAGTGGCTGCATAATCTTGTGGGTAAAAAGGTCCAAAGAGGTCACCCATGTTCCGGTAACTGGCCCACTTCCCACAGAGACAGCACACCAGGTGCCCCATCACGGCAGACTCTGTCACAACAGGCCCCTGCAGCATGAAGGAAGAGGCCGGGAGCACCTTGCTCTCAGTGCTGCTGGGTGGCGGGGTCAGTGACCTCTGGCCCTTGCGACCCCTCACCAATTTGGTTTGCTCCTCTTCCTCGGCATTGATGATTGTACAAACAGCTCCGAGCTCACACTTATTCACGACGTGGATATAAGGGAAGAAGGACTTGTTCTTGGCATCGGTTTTGTCCAGCGGCTGGGTGGCATACTTGAGTTTGATCTCGGGTTCCTGGGGCTCCACGATGGGCACGGCCTGCTTGGTCTTGCGCTTGCGGGGCTGGGCCCCTGGCTTCCTCCGCTCCCGCCGCTGCCGCTGCTTTTTCGGCTTTGGCTCTCCATCCGCAGCGCCCTCTGGGACCGGCGGCGGCGGGGGTGGAGGTGGCGGCGGCGGCTGCTTCTTCTGCTTGTTCACACTACCAATGGGTCGCCCCTTCTTTTTTCCCGAAGGGAAGTATCCCTTAGGAGGGAAGCTCTCCTGTTTGGGGGAGATCATTGCCTCATTCTCCTTCTCTTCTGCCTTGGGTTTTGTCTCAGGGGCCAGGATACCCCCTGGGGGTACATTCTTAGAGTCAGCAAAGATTAAAGGTGCAGTCCCACCCAGGGGGGCCTCTGGTCGCCCTTGGTTACTCCCAGGCTTCTGTGAGGTCACGGAGGTCATGGCACCAGGGGGTTCTTTCCCAGCAGGAGCTGTCTCGGGCCTTGTCTCGGTCTTCACTTTGTCATCACCACTGCCGCGCCAGTCTTCCGGAGCCCGTGCCAGAGGCTTCTCGGCGCTCAGATCCTGGTGTGCTGGGCTCACCAGCTCAGACACCACCTCGCCTTTCCTCTTCTCCAGCTCGGCGTCCTGGATGGCCACACTCCCGCCTTCGGAGGGCCCGCTCTTCAGCGACAGGATGTCATCGAGCGTGACTGCATCCCCCCCGGCCTCGGCACTGTTGGAGGACGCACTCCTCCGAATGTTGGGGGATGTGATCTTCTGAACTATAGCTTCCAATTTCAATCCCCTGCCCTTCCGCGGGGGCAGTATTTTGGTCTTGGCAGGGCTTGTGAGGGTAACGGCAGGGCAGTTTCTACTCTCTGGACTCGGAAGGTCCTTGGCGGAATCTCTCTTGGGGATGGACTTGATGTCCTGGCTATGGGGAAGATGGGCGTAGGAATTGAATGCCTTGTCAGCACCTTCTCTTGGGGGATGAAGGAGGCGCCCTTTATCTTCAGCGCCACTACTCCTTACGTCTTGGGACTGTCTCTTACTGGGAATGGGAGAGATAAAGGAACGGACCCGTCTCCTCATAATTAAGGGGTTTTGGGAGGAATGATCCTCCTGACCTGGAAGCCGTAGCATCATGTTGCCAGGTTTGGATGGCTGGGCAGACTCAGCCAGCCCGTGCCCATCAGTCTCATGGGGCGGCCCATACCTCTTCTGATTGGACAATCCTGGAGGACCACTGCTTTTGGCTGGAGAGGTCTGCCGAGAAAGATCCCAGCAAGACTCTTGTTGTAACTTCTGGGAACCGTGCTTCAAGTCCAGGCCTTTGTTGGGCAGACCGTCCCCAGCCAGGAGGCAGCGTCCGGCCTCCTGGGCGCCGGCGTCATGGTAAGTGCCTACTGGGGGGCCGTACATCATGCCATCCTTGTCGTTTTTCAGAGGGCTCCGCACCCGGTCAAGGAACTGCTGCTGCCTCGGGCTCTTGCGCGGGCCTTCCTGCCGATGCTGGGCTGCAGCAATCACGCCCTGAGCAGAGCTGCTGCTCCAGTCCTTGTACTCCTCCTGCTGCTGGTACATCTGCCTCTTGTAATGGAGCTGTGAGTTCAGACCTGCACCGGGCTCTCCGTAGGCGTGGGCCCGAGTGTTGACGTGATAGGCAGAGGCCAGGCTTTCTGAATTGGGAGCAAACGGAGCGTGCAGAGAACTCCTGTTGGCCCGCTCTGAGAAGGCCATGTGTGGGCTCATGTGATGAGGGTCTCCCCCGGGACCTCTGCTCCTCCCAGGAGACATCTTCAGTTTTTCTGCAAAGTCATGATACTGAGAAGGAGACCGACCCCTCATGCTTTCCCGGCCACCAACCCTGCCGGGGACCCGGCGCATGGGCCTGCTGTCCTGCGGGCAGTAGTCTGAAAGGGAATCATGGGCCGCTGCCCCTGGGCTGGCATTCCCACGGAAAGACTCATGCTTGAGGCTGCTAGGATGGCAATGGTCTCCAGACTTCTTGTTGTTGAAACTAGCTTGGGATTTGGACTGTTCAAAGTCTTCTTCTTTTATCTGCCCACTCTGGGATTTCAGCTTTGCTTCCATGGACACCAACCCACCTGGAAGAATGACGGACTGACTTAAGTTTGGGTTCAGACGTTCATTTCTCCCGATTCTGGTGTCGGCACCCATGTGTCCCAGGGAGTGAGCCCCCGGGTCCCTGACAATCTGTCTTAGTGGAGAAATGTCACAGATCACTGATCTTCTTTCAGAGAGGGAGCCCCCGGGCTCATGAGCTGATGACTGAGGCTCTATTTCAAACTTCCTGGGAACTGGATAGTCAGCCAAATTGATCTGCTTCAGTTCGGGAGCTGTGCTGCCAGATTTCCTCTCCCAGGGGCCCCAGTGGGGGTTTTCTAATAGGGATCCAATGCTTTTGTTCAGAAGACCCCTGCTTGCTAATTCATTGGTCTGACTGACTAAGACATTGGGCCTCGAGGCTCCTTCCAGCCCGGCAGCCATCCCCTGGTGCTCCTGAGCACTCCTAGAATATCTCCTGTCCGGGTGGTGGTGGTAACCCTGCAGTACTTCCTGCAGAAGGCTAGGGAACTTCTCGTTTCTACCCTTCCGTTCCCCGTGGCCAGTGAAATCTCCCTTTTCTTGCCCTGTAGGAAACTGAGGGAAGCTGCTGACATTTCGTGGTACGGCAGACCCAAAACTGTCTTTGTAACTGTAGCGTACACTTCCAGGAGACTTGCTAGGCTCGGTCCTGCTTGTAAATGCAGGCCCCACTGCAGTGTGGCCAGCCTGGCCATTTCCTTCTCCATTGTGGTTGGAGTTGCTGTCTCCATTCTTGTTCCCTTTGTTCCCGCTTCCTGGCGCATCTGGCTGCGGAAGAGGGGCGAGGCTGCCTTCCTTGGCCCCACCATTGCTAGGGGGCCTCTGCATGCTTGCGGGATCATCCTCCTGGGAGCAGCCTTTCTCTTGTCCACCAGGCTTTTCCACTCGACTTGTCATGGTTTCCCGGGAGACAATTACCCCAACTGTCTTCTCATTGACTTTTGGGTTCCCCTCGGAGGACAATGCTGTGTCCTTGGCACCCGGTGAGGTGGCCTCATCTCTGGCTGCAGGACTCGCACTGAGTCTGGGGGCTTCACTTTGAGCCCCCTGTGCAGGGGAGGCACTGGCCTTCTCCGAGGTGCCTCCCTTGTAAGTGGTGTCAGAACTGGTGCTCTGGCCGCTCAGCTGCCTCACTCTCTCACCTTGATCTTCTGAGCTGCTGGAACAGCCTCCGTCCAACGACTCTGCTAACGGAGACTTCAACTGTTCTTCAGGCTGTGAGGAGCCCTCAGAATTCGCACAACTATCTGCTTTCTTAGAAGACGAGGAGAGCCTCTTGGAAGTCTTCTTCTGAGGCGTCAGGGCATCTGAGAGCAACATGTGCTGGACAGTGTTAGGAAGATTGGCCACTTGAGTACTCAGAGCACTCAGACTACTCAACCCTGGGTCTGTGAGTCGTTTTTCTGGCACACCTTCCAGGCCAAATCCTTTCAGGCCTGCAGCATGAGAATTGGGACTGGGCATCATGGATGGGGTTGGACTGAGCTGAGGCATTAACTGTAGGATTCTGTTTCTGGAACCCATGGGCACACTGCCTTGCCCACACTGGAGATTCTCTCCGCTCTGCATGAGAGGAGACGGGGTAGAGCTGCAGCTTGGAGACTGGACCACCGAGGCAGCTGGAGAAGGGTTGGAAATAGGGCTGAAGTTCTGGTGGAACTGCATGGGGGACCTCACAGGAACCTCAGGCTGGCTATACTGCCCCACCTGGCTTTGTAGAGGCAGCTTGGTGGCAGTATTGGTGTACTGCATCACATGCTGAGCTGGGTGCTGTTGTTGCTGCTGCTGCTGCTGCTGCTGTCCCTGCTGCTGTCCCTGCTGGGCCCCTGGTGGAATCTTTGTCTGTTCAAAATTTTTCATGGATTGAGGCTGATAGCTGTAATTTGACTGTGTTCCATAAGCCTGTGCATTAGACCCCACATTATGTCCTTCGTACTGAGACCCAGCATTCACGTTGTAACTGCCATCATAGCTCTGTCCAGACTGGCTGAAACGCTGTGGTGAAGGAAAGGAGGAGGAGGTGGTGGAGGAGACAGCGGACTGGTAGTGTTGGCCAAACTGACCCACTCTTAACTGGTAACCAGCAGCAGAGGACGGCAGAGTGGAGGGCCGCTGCATGGGCTGCAGGTGAGACGAGTTGGACGGCGGCTGGCCGGAGGCTTGAGGCAGAGGCTGATGTGACTGGTAAAGCTGCTGTCTCAACTGCTGTACTTGCTGCTGCTGCTGCTGTTGCTGTTGCTGTTGCTGTTGCTGCTGCTGCTGCTGCTGGCTGGAAGCCTGCTGCTGGTACTGAGCACTCCCTGGAGAAAACGGCCCTGTGTAATCCTGCTGATAATGAGACACACCACCCAGGGCGGAGTGCTGCGCTTGAAACTGGCCCACATGACCCTCGCTCCCATACTGGTTGCCAAAGCTGCTCCCCTGGGGCGGACCGTAGCTCTGCACAGGCCCAGAAGGCCTTCGCTGAGACGGCTGCGGGGTTCCTGCTGTCACAGGCTCTTTGTTGCCTGCCATGTAGTAAAACTCTCCAGCTTCTTTCCTAAAGCCCTGGTAGCCTTGATGGCCAGAGGTCTCACTAGCCATTGCGGCAGCAGCTGCTGCTCCTCGACGGCCACCACCACTGCCACTGCCACTACTACCACCACCTGCACCTCCAAAATTCTGGAACATCTGGGCCTGGCGAGGACTGAACTCTTCTATCCGGGACGAGCCGTGTACCTCCTGTGGGTAGCTCTGCTGGCTTCCGTGGTAACTGCTTTGCTCCCGGAAGGACTGCATACTGTTCAGTAGTACAGCAGCGGGCCAGCAGCCCTCCTGGAAATGGAAGAAAATAAAAACATTAGACATGGGTCTCCTCATACAAAATAAAGTTGAGATATGACAGGTGTAAGACAATTCAGACGCTTGAACCCCATCTCCTTTTATTCTGTATCCTACCCACAGACAGGCAAGCGAGCGGAGCAATGGGCTCAGAGCAGAGGAGGAACACTCTGGGTGTGTGTAAACTTAAATAAGTTAAAACTAGCACATGTCACTATTTGACAATGAATGAGCCTTCCCAAATTCAAAAAGGTTAAAATAGCAGTTGAATTATCACTGGCAATAAAAAACAGCAATGTTTAGTCTTCCAATTGCTAGGGGTTAGGGGTGGGAATGTGGAAAAAAACAATTTCCTTTCATCCATGAGGGAGCCCGATGGCTGCATGGGCCTGTCCCCACTGACACTGCGAGGACAGCGCTGGCAGCTTCACTGCAGCCACCAACGACCTGGGCACAACCTGGGCACACTTCTCACTGAATCCCTAGGCAGCAGCCAGCCACAACGCACCCCTCCCCCTCAAATGTCCACCTCAATTCCCACATACAAAGAGCTGCAAACTGTTCTTCCAGACTCTGTCCTATCAGTGAAACAAGCCAACCTGAAGACAAACATCACATGATCTCTCTGCTGGAACTGTCATCTAAACCAGAAATGAACAGAAATAAAGGTAAACAGATCCATACTCGTAACCTCACAAACGAATGACGTGATGGCGGCCAGAACAGCAGGAATCAAAGATCTGCGGTGGGCGTGTCTACTCCCAAATAAGAACAGGCCCCCAATAAACTGATAAATACACCCAGACAACCAAACACTGCCATCTCTACCTTGCTTACACCTACAGTGTCATGGCACAGGCAAGAGCAAAAAGCTCGAGATCAGACTACTGCTGAAGCACTGACTATATTACTTTAAAATACGGGGGACAATGGGGAGCGGAGAAGGGGAGCGAGGAAAGGGAGGAAAATGGGCAAAACCCTATGCCAGCAAAACTGTAAAACAGAAAATTTTTAAAAAATGTGGCAAGGTCAAGTCTAAATGATAAATCAGATAATCAGTAATAAGATCTAAATTAAAGATAAGCTAGAGGGCCCGGCATGTTAGCCTAACAAAGTCCTCACCTTACATGTGCCAGGATCCCATATGGCACTGGTTCTAATCCTGCAGCCCTGCTTCCCATCCAGCTCCCTGTTTGTGGCCTGGGAAAGCAGTCAAGGACGGCCCAAAGCCTTATGATCCTGCACCCACGTGGGAGACCCAGAAGAGGCTCCGGGCTCCTGGCTTTGGATCGGCTCAGCTCCAGCTGGAAGATCTCTTGTCTCTCCTCCTCTCTATATCTGACTTTCCAATTAAAATAAATCTTAAAAAGACAAGTTAGAAACCTCAAAAAAGAAAAAAGGAAAGGGAAGAAAGGGGGGGAGGAAGAGAGGAGGGGAAGGGGAAGGAGGAGGGGAGGAGAAAAGAGAAAGCAGAGGAGGGGAGGGGAGGGGAGGGGAAAAGAGAAAGGAGAGGAGGGGAGGGGAGGGGAGGGGAAAAGAGAAAGGAGAGGAGAGGAGGAGAGGGGAGGAGGAGAGGGGAGGGGAGGGGAGGGGAGGGGAGTCCTGACAGCTTTGAGGCTCACTGGGCTCGCTGTTGGCCAATCTTGCATTCACAAAGTTTTTACTGGCCATTACCGTCAGAGAAGGAACTGAAGCCAGCTCCTGGAACAGCAAGATGGAAAGCAAGGACCCAGATTCTTTTGAAGGCCACCTGACTCGACTACCATGTGCCCAGACCTTTGCCAGGGCCTCAGGTTCCTAAACCGTTGCATTCAGAATCGACCCTACTTGTGCCTTTGCCTGTGCCTGACTTCTTGCCAGAGTTGGCGATAAACAAGACAGAGTCAAACGTCTTCAAATGGCTTTAAGGCAGCCGTTTATAGAAGCAGCTGAGAAATACATGCAAGCTACAGTAGGGCACTGACAGTTTCCCTGCAATTGTTCCTGCAGCTTGCTTTCTTAGTCCTTCTCAGAAGCTCAGTGCCCAAGCTGACCCATCACTGCCCTGACTCCTCCCATTTAACTCTGCTCCAGGAACAAACTCCCACCCAGGCCCTCTGCTCTCGCCCACCACACTCTTTCCTGACAGCAACGGGACCTGCACACCCCGTCTCCTTCTAGCCTCTGGACTAGCCTCACCTGGCCTATCTATAAACAACAGCTGGGCCACATCTCCATCTCGGCCTCTCCAGCTCCTTTTCCTGCTTTACTCTCCCACCCCTGTCTCCCAGGACTGATTTATTTACAAGACACAAAACTCTACTTGGTTATAGTCCATCTCCCCCTTAAAGGGAAGAGACTGTTCCTTGCTGTAATCCTCATATCATCAAAGCAGTAGGGAGCATGCGGCTGGCGCTCTGTGTGAACAGTTACATGGTGCATGTCTAAGCACCCTGCTGGAGCTTACATACGCTACAGAGCTGGTGGAGGCAAGAGAACGGCTGCTGCAAAGGGCAGAGCTAAAGGATACTGACAGCCCTGCCCTCAGAAGCCTCGGTCTGTTCCAGGGTGGAACACCTGCTGAGGGCCATCAGGGAAGAAAGTGAGAAAGTCGACATGGATCACAGCACCAGATGGCCAGCAACTCCAGCTCTGATGCCCTGTCACACTTCCATCTGTACCTGAAGTCTAAGCAGCCACACTAAGGTTCTTTGCTAGACCGATTACAGTCCCGTGAACCAGTCATTTTAAGAAGATGTACTTTGGGCCCGGCGGTATGGCCTAGCAGCTAAAGTCCTCGCCTTGAACGCGCCGGGATCCCATATGGGTGCCAGTTCTAATCCCGGCAGCTCCACTTCCCATCCAGCTCCCTGCTTGTGGCCTGGCCAAGCAGTCGAGGACGGCCCAAAGCCTTGGGACCCTGTACCCACGTGGGAGACCTGGAAGAAGTTCCTGGATCCTGGCTTCGGATCGGCATAGCATTGGCTGTTGCGCTCATTTGGGGAGTGAATCATCAGATGGAAGATCTTCTCCTCTCTCTTCTCTTCTCTGTATATCTGACTTTCCAATAAAAATAAATCTTTTTTTTAAAAAAAAGATGTACTTTATTTGAAAAAGCACTGTGACAGACTGAGAGGCAGACAGAGAAAAAGATCTTTCAGCAACTGGTTCACTCGCCAGATGGCCCCAATAGTTGGGGCGGGGTCAGGTCAAAGCCAGCGGCCAGAAACTTCATCATGGTCCCAGATGGGTGGCAGGAATCAAAGCACTTGGGTCATCTTGCCCCGTCTTCCCAAGCACGTTAGCAGGGAGTTGTACTACAAGTGGAGCAGCTGGGACTTGAACCTGTGTTCCGATAAGGGATGGCAGCAATGCAGGCAGTGACTTAACCTGCAGTGCCATCACTGTAGCCTTTCAAAGCCACTTTGGAGAAACAGACAATAGTGGCTGACTCCAAACATTGCTTCTCTTCCACTGCCTGTGTAACAACTGCTCTGCTTTCAGGGCGCTGCCCCAGACCTCTACACACTGGCTCACCCAGCTCACCAACACCACAGAAGAGGAAGCTGACGCTGAGTTCAGACTTCAAACAGCAGTCACTATGAGGCAGCTCCTCCAGGCCTTGCTCTCAACACAACCTGTGTGTCTTCCCAGAGGCAGGCACTGTGCACCTGCTCCCAGTGGCTCTGTCAAGACTGTCCCTGTGTGCTGGCCCCACTCCTGGTAAGTCACTGCCTTGGATGGTAAGTGAAGGGTGTGGGAGTTCAACAGAAGCACTAACTTTTTTTTTTAAAGATTTATTTATTTATTTTTTTATTGGAAAGGCGGATATACAGAGAGGAGAGACAGAGAGGAAGATCTTCCATCCGATGATTCACTCCCCAAGTGAGCGCAACGGCCCGATACTATGCCGATCCAAAGCCAGGAGCCTCTTCCAGGTCTCCCACGCGGGTGCAGGGTCCCAAAGCTTTGGGACGTCCTCGAATGCTTTCCTGGGCCACAGGCAGGGAGCTGGAAGGGAAGCGGGGCTGCCGGGATTAGAACCGGCGTCCATATGGGATCCCGGGCGTGCAAGGCGAGGACCTTAACCACTGCGCCACCGTGCCGGGCCCAGAAGCACTAACTTTTTTAAACTAATGAAAACCTTCCTTGAGAGAAAAATGTCTCTATAAATTACAGGTTATTTAATTAATCCTTCTGGAAATCAGGTCTCTGAAGACCTGAACGTGTGAACAAAGCTGCCACCTGAAGAGGCATGGAAGCCACTGCAGAGCGCAAGCAGCATGGGGCTGCCTGGTCTTGGAGGGAACCCACTCGCCAGAGGGGAAATCAGGTCGGTGTGTCTTGTGCTTCCCTGGCAGGGATGACACCCCCACCCTGCTGCTGTAGCTCTAGTGTACAGACAAGCGTCCGTAGCTAACACTTCCCGCAGGGTACCAGTCAAACTAAACATTCCAAGTACACAAGAAGCCGAGTACCAGAAGGTAGTTGCCAAGCGTATCTTTTTTTAGGAGTTCCAACTAAAGCAATTATGAAGATCACCCATACCAGCAACAGAAAATATAGTCTAAGTAGTTTTACTACGACCATACAAAATAAGCTATGATCACTCCAATACTATTTCATCATTTGAGAAAGAAAAAAGCATCAGTGTGCCTGGCATGGTGATCCTCACCTTGCAAGCACCAGGGCATATGGGCACTGGTTTGTATCCCGGCTGCTTTACTTCCCACCCAGCTCCCTGCCTGTGGCCTGGGAAAGCAGCCGAGGAAGGCTCAAAGCCTTGGGGCCCTGCACCCGTGTAGGAAACCCAGAAGAAGCTCCTGGCTCCTGGCTTTGGATTGGCTCAGCTCCAGCCATTGTGACCACCTGGGGGAGTGAACCAGCAGACAGGTTTTGGAGTGCATGCACACATCCTGAGCCCATTTGGTGACCTCATTAACACAGCTGTCACGCCACTGTGGTGGCTCCCACTACCTCGGCAGATCCTCCAGCTCGACATCTTTCAGGGAAAGCAACCTTAGCTTTCTTTGACCTTCTGCTTCCACCCTTCCCTTAGATGTATTTATTCATTGGACACGCAGATATACAGAGAGAAGATCTTCCATCCATTGCTTCACTTCCCAAATAGCTGCAATAGCCAGAGCTGAGCCAATCCAAAGTCAGGAGCCTCTTCTGGGTCTCCCACGTGGGTGCAGGGTCCCAAGGCTTTGGGCCGTCCTCAACTGCTTGGGCAGGCCACAGGCTGCATGGGAGGTAGAACGGTTGAGACACGAGCTGATGCCCACATGGGATCCCGGCGCATGTAAGGAGAGGACTTTAGCCACCAGGCTGTTGTGTTGGGCCCTCATTTTCCCACTATCAATTTCCTGCCTCATATGAGGTATAATTTCCTCACCTCTAAAATAAAACACATAGATCCTCAATATATTAATAGACCCCTCTGCTGCTGGTGTGGCCCCCAGCCTACTCCTGTCTCTTCTCAGTTCATGCTCCCCTCCTCCTAGAGCTCCACGGACTCTGTGGG